TTGACCACCCTTTCCACGGGGAAATTCCTCCTGATTTACACCCTGAGCCTCCTCTGGTAGAATTTGAGGCCGTTCCTGCWCCTCCTGTCCCTGTTCCCTGGGAACAGATCCCAAATCCCCCCCKGCTGCCCGCTCCTGTCAGGGAGTTGTGCAGAGCCACAAGGTCCCCCCGATCCCTCTTTTCTCCCTTTTCTTCCCTTTCTCAGCTCCCTCAGCCTCTTTTGGGGTTCCATCCCCTTCCCCAGCTKATGTGGGCATCACACTTAAATATGGAATTAAACAGGAAGGGAGGCCTGAGCTGCGAGCAAGGATTAAACCTCATTCTAGAGCACGTTCAGACATCTGAACCTGCTGTGGAAACAGCTCTGAACAAGGTGTCACCAGCAAGACCCAACAGATTTCCTGCTGCCACACAAGCGTTATCAAGCAGAGGCTTTAAATATTCTTAACTTAGCCCTTTTCTTCTGTTTTTTAGGTGATCAGAGTGACAGGTTTCCTGAAAGGGCTTTACACRGATTTCGAGTTGAAGTCAGATAATGTAAAGGTGAGCATGAGACTTTCTTACTTATTTAGCTCTCAGTATTTTTAACAACTTTCCACGTGGTTCTTTTGGTCTTTTCTGTGTTCAGCATCAAGGACCTGTTGTTGTTTTTGTGAAAAAGTTGCAGAAGTTACTGCCTGTGGGTTATATTATGTAATGCATGTGGTAAACACCTATAAATTTGTGCACAGATGGGTTTTAAAGAGTCTTGTGGTCTTTCAGCAGAATCCATGGCCCTAAATTTATTGCTTTATGTATTTATGTGTATATATATATATATATATGGACTATAAATATATAAATTAAATATCCTTTTTTAATATCCCAACACTCACTGAGGTATTTTTCTAGGATCTGCAATAGCTTGATTCCACTATAAAACTAGCTAATTACTGAAAGAGGAGATTAATATTATTACTGAAAACTCGTTTTCTTGAATCCAAGGGTGACTTTACTCTCTGTTTGCCTCATTGCCTTGATTTTTGGCTGAGCTGATGCCGAGTTCTCCGAGTCCCAACCCGATTTGGGAGCTTTGGTCGCTGATTGCTGGCAGACAAGTCAGTGTTTGTGTGTTGCCACTTGGGCAGCTGATCCCTTGGTGTTTGTTTAACRTAGCAACTGAAGAATGAGGCCTGGGAGCCTGACTTCTCATCATTTCAGCCAGTTTTAGTCACTGATTAATGYGTGTGTTCACTTCTGAGACTGCTCTTAGCATTGTCAGGATGAGTAAAATTCATTAATTTATAACCAAATTGTTGTTTTTTTGTTGACCCAAAAAGCAGATTTCCCAGCAACTCCTGAGCAGGTCTGGGTTGCACATATGTGCTGCTGCCTGTCTGAGAATTTTTTCCCAGCCCAGGCATCCAGGAGGGTTTTCCAGAGCTCAGGCAGAGGAGATCAAAATTGTGGAGTGTTGGGGAAAATGTCTCAGTCTTGAATTCCTCTTCCCAAAACGTTGGGAAGGCTCAGGAGGAATTGCCTACTTACTTAGGGTGATTTTTGTAGGAGTTGTGGAAGATCAGGAGAAAAAATTTTATCTTAGTAATCACTAGGAGAGAGATGTAAGGAGGATAAAAATCATGAAGAGTCCTTAATTGTGGGGATTTCTCTGGAAGAAATTCACCTCGTGTATCAACTACACTGGGTATCACTGTGTAGTTAGATATCACTATATATTTATTAGAGGTTCATTTTGTTAAGTTTAATTAACTTTGTTCTCTTATAAATAGAAAATTGCATGTCACCCTTGATCTTCTAATTTTTCTTATCAGCTTTATATGTACAAACACACGAAAAAAAATATTCTATATTTACACACATATAAATTTCTACCACTTGAAATTAGGGAAATACCTTTTTTAAAAATCTGCACAGGAAAATCCCCAGCTTGGTGGCAGTTTTTTGTTTTAATCCTTTTGCAAGGGGCRAAGATGGGAAGTACCCTGACTCTGGAGACTCTTCCCACCTTTCTGACCATGTGCTTGCAGCAGAACCCAGTTTTTGTTTTTGGGAGAGCRCCTCTGGAGCTTGGGATGCCMCTGGRACAGCTCTGTTAAGCTCCAGTGGCRCACAGAAAATTCTCCTTGCATGGCTTTCATTTTTTAACAGGCTGGCTAATATTCCTTGAATGTTGTTTTATTTTATTAATAAATCCCAGAGGTTTTTTCCCCACTGAGTGTTCTACTTCCCACCAGATTTTCATTCTCTGGGCCAGTAAAATTTCACTCAGCTTTCCTTTGTTTATTTGGTCTTTTTTTTTACTTCAGATTTTACATGCTCGCTAGAAGGCATCATTTCAGCTGAAGGGCACTTGGTGCAAATTGTTTGTAAAGCATAATTCTAAAACTAAATTAAGCTGATAATTATGAAGGTAAAAATTTCTCTTAATTGCTCTTTTTACCAGGATAAGGATTCCAAAATCAACTTCCTTCAGAAGGCCATCGATGCTGTTGTGATGGTGACAGGAGAGCCGCTGTCAGTGAAACCAGCCCGAGTTGTGGCCGGGCACGAGCCCGAGAAAACCAACGAGTTCCTGCAGGCTATTGGCAAGTGCTGCTTAAATAAGGTASGGCTGAATTAAATAGAATTTATTAAATTTTGTTTAATCAGCACGTTCTGGTTGGTTATCAGGGTTTATTTGGGATGATTCGGGAAGGGGATCAGGGCACCCTCAGGATGCTGATGGGATCTGTGTAGGGATCTGGGTGGATCCATRGGCCACAAAAATTCCATATCACAAAAAAACCCCATGGAACACCCCAGTCTGCCTTGCGGGAACAGCAACTACTGCCTTGACTGGCCAGTTTTAATTATGATATAAACAGGGGTAAGGGGATAAAAGGGTTTTATTTTGGTATTCAATGRTATCTCAGCTGCACAACTCAGCAGAATGGAAGAAACACCAGAAAATTTGCGTTTAACACGTGTGTAAGTTTTATAAACTTCACAAACCAGTATATTTATGTAGATAAAGTAACATTTCTTTATTTTAAAGAATTCCCTCTTGGGATGCGGTTAAGTTTAGTTTGCACAATGTGTTTTAGGGAGGAGACTTCAACCAAGGTTGGAGCTTTAGGGTTTGAGATGGCACAGGGCACACTGAGCCCTTATTGAGGATGTTTGGGTTTTCTGCCCAGCACAACCCTAAAACAGAACTGGAATATCAGGCTACAAGAATTACGAGCATGGAGGCTAAGGGCACAGAAAATGTCTAGAAGGTTCTTTAAAATATATCAAAGRGTATATGAAAATAAAAGGCAAAAATCATCAGGCATCATCATTGTGGTTCACTTTGTTTGTCATTCAATAATATTTATTAGATTTGAAATAACATTTATTAGATTTGAAACTCAAAATAAACCTTCAGAATCTTTACAATTTTGGGGTACAGATACGTTGGTTACCCAGCCACTTGATTACCTTTGAGTTTATCTCCTGTCAGTGAAATCTCTTAATTGTGGAATGAAAAGTCATTTTTCCACTGTTCTTTTCTTGACTGTGGAAATAAAATAATGGGGAAATTTGATAACTGCTTGAAAGCAACTGCAGGGGCAATTTTTACACAGAATTATTTCATTCTTACATGGAATTGTTATGTTCTTGCTTTGCATTTTTATGTTCTTAATAATTTCTACATTAATTATTTAATAAAATAATTTACTCTTTTCACTGGTGTTTTTTCTGTTCCTTGCAGCTGTCCAGTGATGCTGCTGTAAAAAGGATCTTGGCTGGGGAAAGAGCTGATCCTAAAGGGAAACCTCCACCCTCTAAACCTCGAGATAAAGAGAGCAGAGAGCCCAAACCAGAAGAACAAAAGAGCCATAGGGATAAAGAGGTAGAATTTGAATTTTTTTGGAGGTACCATGATTTATTTGTTTGGGGTTTTTTTAGCCTGCTGTAAGTTGCTGTATGATTGAGTTGGAATGTATTGGAATTAATTTTGAGTGTTTGCTTTCTTTTTAGAGCAGGAGAGATGCTGAAATTAAAGARAGAAGCCCAAGCAGAGACAGAAAAAAAGGAGATAGAGAAAAGGAAAGGGACAAACAGAAGAACAATGAAGAGAGGCACAAAGAACCTGAAAGAGACACCTTGAAGGAAGGGGAAAAACAAGAAAGGGAAAGAAGCAAAAGCAGAGCGGCCAAACAAGGAAGAGAAACGGAAAAAAGCAGAGGAAAAGGAGACGTAGAGCAAGGAGATGATAAAGGGCAGGAAAGAGAGAGGAGGCTTGAAGGAGGAAGAGAAAAGGACAGAGTGAAAGGAGATGGTCTTGGGCAGGAAAGAGAGAAAAGACTTGAAGGAGGAAGAGAAAAGGAAAAAGTGAAAGGAGATGATCTCGGGCAGGAAAGAGAGAAAAGACTTAAAGGAGGAAGAGAAAAGGACAGAGTGAAAGGAAGAGACAAAGATAAGGCCAGGGACAGAGAAGAAGAGAAAGACAGAGAGAGACGAAGAGATCAGGACAGACAAAAAGATGGGGAGCTTTTAAAGGACCACGGGAAGGAGCAAGCAGAGAAAAAGGTAATTGGAATGTTACTGTGGGGAAGAGCTTTCCCCATGCTRTGGTTGGGACTGGGCTCATTCCAGTGGCCTTTTCATGTTTGAATTCCTGCTCATTTTGCAGGAACGGACCTTCATCTTGTTCCAAACCCCATCCATGGCAGGGACACCTCACGCTATCCCAGGCTGCTCCAAACCCCAGTRTCCAGCCTGGCCTTGGGCACTGCCAGGGATCCAGGGGCAGCCACAGCTTCTCTGGAATTCCATCCCAGGGAACAATTCCTTCCCCAAATCCTRTCCATCCCTGCCCTCTGTCAATATGAGCCCATTCCCCTTTGYCCTGGCACTCCATTCCTTGTCCCTCTCTGTCATTCTTGCTGTTTCCCTTCAGGTACTGCAGGGCCTTCTCAGTGTAAAGTCACTCTCAGTTGGTCCTGGATTGTCCTTAAGGTCCCTTCCAAYCCAAACCAGTCTGGGATTTAAGGATTCAACTCTTAAATTGCCTTGAGAGCCATCTTTTCATTGCCTTTCATGTCATTATTCTTTCATTTTCACTTCCTCTAAATATTTCCTTTTCTACTTTCCTATTCCATTGGTAGAAATTCAGGATTGATGGGCACCAAAATGCTTTTTTAGGAGGGATTTGGAGCCTAAAACCATTTATTTTCTTTCCAGCCTGCAGATTCTGAAGAATCCACGCTTAGAAAATCACAGAGGCCAACTAAAGACAGCAAGTGCCAGCCAGATACTGAGGTTAGTAGTGGAGAAGGTGGGAATATTCCAAGTGTTGCATTTTGATTTGGGAATTTGCTTGAAAAGGATGTAGGGGTGAAAGGATAATTTTTAGGGCTGGAAAATACATTAAATACCCACTTCCCTGTTTTTTTGGTTGTTTATTTATTAAAAATTTCTCTGAGCTTGGACCAAAAGAAAAAAATCTACTCAGTTTATTTAATTTTCCAGATTTTATTTAATGTTTTGGATGCTTTTTAAAATCCCAAACTGGTTTGGGTTGAGAGGAACCTTCAAGCTCATCTCTTCCACYCCCCTGCCACGGGTTTTCTCTATTTCCTCAGGAAAGCTGATGGGTTTTTTGCATTTACTTTTGAATTTTAGCAGAAGTTCCTGTTTTGGGGAGCAAAGCTGTTGTTTTAGGGGTTTCAAAACCTGGTATAGCAGCTCAGGAAGTGCCTCTGTTACCCTGGTGTCTCCATCTGCTGCTTCCTGATCACCTGAGGCAATTGGGGGAATTTTGGAGCCAAATGTTTATAAAAGGGGAGACTCCAGGCAATGACCCTAAAGCAGGCAGGATCCCAAATCCAGCACGACTCTCTGACATCACTATGACAAATTTATAGCTCTGAAACCCAACCAAACTCTTTAAAATTTTTGGCACTGGCAGGGAGAGCTTATAAAAAAGGGGTTTTAATTTTTTTTTTTAGCCTCCAGCAAATAATCGTGGCCAAGTGAAACTTCCTACAAAATTCTAATGGAAATTCTGAGCCTCACCCCAAACTCTCCTTGTGCTCTTGGGCACTGCAATAATCYACTCAAGGGCCAGTAAAGTTTCATTTCCCCTCCTCAGTGCTTTTGGGAGGGATTCCAAGGATTTGGGAGTTGTTACCTGAAATCCAAATGGCCTTCTTTGCGTAACAGCAGAGGCTGCTCACTCTGGAGCTGCTGAAAACACAAATTTCACACCAGAGCATGGCAAATATCATCACTTTGAAGCTGTRGAAGGGAGGAACAGAATTTTTCTCTCTCTCGTTAGTTTTTTATATATATTTTTTCTATCTTTTTAGCTTTTTATATATATATTTTCTATCTCTCTTTACCTTTTATATGTGTATTTTCCATCTCTCTTTAGCTTTTTATATCTATTTTTGCTACCACTCTTTAGCTTTTTAAATATATTTTTTCTCTCCTTAGCTTTTTATACATATATTTTCCATCTCTCTTTAGCTATTTATATATATATTTTCCCCTCTCTTTAGCTTTTTAAATATATTTTTCTATCTCTCTTTAGCTTTTTAAATAGTTTCTTTTCCATTTTTCTTCAGCTTTTAAAATATGTTTTTTCCATCTCTCTTTAGCTTTTCATGGACATATATTTCTCTCTCTCTCTTTAGCTGTTTAAATATATTTTTTCTACCTCTCTTTAGCTTTTTTAATATATATTTTTCTATAGCTATAGAATAKAAATGTATTCACTACCTAAAGGTCAGCCACTATTTTTTTTTCCCCTCAGGATGAACCTCTTCGCATTTACTTTAGAAAACAAATCAATTTCTACTTTAAAATGAAATATTCTATATGTACATTTTGCATTCTGTAGAATATTTTAAAGCTGTCATTTAAACTTTAGTCCCTGGCTTTTCTTCAATGAGTTTAGGAATTTTAATGAGATTTTCTCTGTTTGTGCAAATCTTAGTTTTTCTTGCTGCTAATGATCCAGCTTTTTTCTCCTTAAGSCTGGCTGATTTTGKTTTTTTTTTAAATTTAAATGTATTTTTCTGTTGCTAAGTGTGCAATGCTCATCACGTGGGTATCCATAATTTTCTGGAGCTAGAARAAAGCAGGGATAAATGGGAATTAAGAGACATTTGGCCACCACATGGCAATCAGAGGCTGCCTCAAGGCTGGTTTGGGATCAGGTTGAGTCGTGTCTATTCCCCCTCAATCAATCCCAGGGAAAARTCAGATTTAAAATGCCCTTTTGGACCTTTTAAATAATGATTTGYCTCTTGAGGAGAGGTGGAGGAGGTCACAGAGCATCTGCTGCTGCAGAACAGGTGAATCATTCACCCTTGAGGCCAAACACCTTGGAAAAGTCTCCTCCTCGTTTCCCGTGGCTGCTGGAACTCTTGGCTGAARTTTTCTGTAATATCCTGTCACCTCTGGGTTTTATTTCTGCCCTGCAAATTGGAGCTGGTCACTCGAAACAGCCTCTAAATCCCACCTGATGARCTTCTGTTCCTCTTGGRATTTATTTGGGTTAGCTAATGAAAYTATGGGATGGAAAAAGGACAGCAGGGAGAATTATTCCATGGAAATCTGCAGGACATGGCTCAAATAATGTTTCTGTTCTGGAGCAGGGAATGTCCCCCTCTCTCCTTGGTGTCAGCACACAAAATTCCATCATTTAAGGTGTAAAAAACCAAAACTATGGGATGAAAAAAGGACAGCAGAGAAAATTATTCCATGGAAACCTGCAGGACACGGCTGAAATATTTCTGTTCTAGAGCTGGGAATGTCCCCCTCTGTCCTTGGTCTCAGCACCCCAAAAATCCATCATTTAAGGTGTAAAAAACCAAAACTATGGGATGAGAAAAGGCCAGAAGAGAGAATTRTTCCATGGAAATCTGCAGGATTACTCAAATAATGTTTCTGTTCTGTTGTAGGGAATGTCACTTTCTCTTTGGTGTCAGCACATCAAAAATCCATCATATAAATTTAAAAAAAAAATTAAACTGTGGGATGAAAAAAGAACAGCAGGGAGAATTAGTCTATGAAAATGTGCAGGACATGACTCAAATAATGTTTCTGTTCCGGAGCAGGGAATGTCCCCCTCTCTCTTTTCTGTCACCACACCAAAAATCTATCATTTAAACTTTAAAAAACCAAAACTATGGGATGAAAAAAGGACAGMAGAGAGAAGAATCATTCCATGGAAACCTGAAGGACATGGCTCAAATGTCATTTTGATTCTCTTTTCCAACCTTAATGATTATCAGCAGGGCTGACAAAAAAAAWTTTAATTTTTTTGAATGAAAATTGCACACACAGATCATTAATTCACACATACTCCAACAAAAAAAAAAAGGGAAGAAAACCCTGGGAAGTTTTTGAATTCTTGAATTTTTGAATCCAAATTTCTGAATTTTGGGTAAGAAGCAGGGCTTTTCTCAAGGGAAGCTGCCATTTAAGTCATGCACTGTACAAGCCTGGCATTACTTTAAATCCTTTTGAATGATTTTCAAATCCTTGCTTCTGTTTTGGAATGAAATCTGAAAGATTTTCCAGTAGGTTGAAGAGGAGCTGTGATGCAGCCAAAACCCAGAGGTGATTGTAGGAATCCTGCTCATCATATCCCACAAAAGTTCCACAAAATTGGATGCTCTTTGTTCACATTTGGAAGTTGCTTTTTTTCCATCACATGAGTTCATGTGAAAGAAAATAACTGGGTCATATCCAGGAAAAAAAATATCCCCAGACCTTGAGGGAAAGAAACTCAACATAAACACRTGGATCAGTTCTGAAATAAATGTTCTTTTGAAGTAAAATACTTAGAGATAGAAAGCAACACATGAGTAAATTTTAAATATAATTATGTAATTTTAAATCTGGTGTTATATAATTTTTTGGGGGGTTTTGGTTTGTTTTTTTTTTGTCTAGAATGAAAATCCTGCAAGGATATYGAGGCAGCCTTCAGCAAAAGGATCGAGGCATCGCTCCAAGCCCCCAGGAGAAGGTAACCACAGCGAGGATATTGKTATTTCTGTCAAATACTCTGCAGGATTATTGAGCAGGAGTAGCAGGAATATTGAAATATCTGTGTTTATTATTGTCAGGGTTTGGTTTGTACTCCCTGCTTGCATTTCTGAATTCAAGAGGCAATTTTCCTTTTTGGGACACAAAAAGTGAGATTCAGTTCGTTTTGTTCACGTTCCCCACTCATAGTTGCAGATAGAAATTTAGCCTGCTTTTGGTAATTAATCTGTAATTACTCTCTAAATGAGCTTTTGCAGCTATTTCTGACATTTGTTAAATGCTTACAGCAGAGCAAAGTGAAGAKTTTAGTCTTGAAACAGTTTTAATTTGATTTTACAGGCAGTCAGGCCAAATAATTTCTCTGTGGCAGTGCTTTTTTGCAATTACATCACCAACTTCTATAATTAAACCTATTAAAAATTGTATTTGCACACTGACTGAGAAGTAGATAATCTTCAGAATATCCCAAATATTGCACATCAGGAAGAAAAAAATCCGAGTGTAGCCCTGCAATCTGCTTGTGTAGGAAAGCAAGAGGAAGAGCCTGGAGAAACTCRTGGATAAGGAATAAAACTGGCTGCTTGCAGTGAAACTGCAATTTCTGTATTTTGGTGCCTTTTTCCCTCCTCTTATTGCAGTGATTGATTGTCATTTCCTTTCAGTGCTTCATGACCCTGATTTTTTAATTCTAAAAATGAAATTACTGTGCATAAATCACTTTATTATGAAGATTTGGTGACACCTGAGAATTCCACCTGTTAAAAATGGCCAATTCTGGTTAAAAATCGGTGCTTTTTAGACTGATGAAGATCCTCACACACTTCATTTGCCAATCTCACCATTATTAATTGATAYCAAGAGAGCCTGTGTTGCCGAGTGTCTTCCCACATTTTCTTTGGATTTCTGGTTTAGAAAATGTTGGAGTTACATCAGTCCTGATTTAGGATAATGAACAGCCCTGTTTGGGCACCTTAAATACCTTGGGGGAAAAAAAAAATTGGCACTTGGGATCTGAATGTGTGTTCATTCAGGAGCTTCATTCCAGTTGGGGCTAGAAAATTGAAATTTTTGAATAATTTGGCAGCCAAGAAATCAGAAAATTGAAATTTTTGAATAATTTGGCAGCCAAAAAAAACTGTCTGGATTCCATTAAATTCAGCCTTACTTTCCTACTTAGTGATTTTCAGCTGATCCTATAACTTCTTCTATTTCCCAAGATTTCAATATTTGTTTTATGTGGCACTGAACTGCGGTGAGCAGCCACACCCCATTTATGAKATTTTAAAACCAGTTTTATGTCCTTTTAAAACCTGTTTTAAATGAAATACAGAGAATCACTTTCCCTGTGCTTTGGCTTTAGGGTGAATATTTTAAAATATTCCTCTTTTCCTCCTGCAGCACTCAAATTTTAATTTACCAGAGCCAGAAATATTTTGGGAAATTTCCCTTTTTTTGTTGTGACACTGTGGGGTTGTCACAGGTGAATAATCCAGCRGGTAGGAAAGCATTTTTTAGATGCWTGTTGCACACTGGTGATGTTGATTTTATCTAATATTAATTGGAAATAAATCARTGCACACCAGGAGGGAATATCTCTTCTCCGTGGGCAGATAAATTTGAGGTTTGTACTGAATATTTCAGCTTTTAGGAGTTCAGGCAGCACTGGGGTAAAAAGTCTTTGTGCACCTTGAATTTATGGACATTGAAGAGGGTTTATTAAACTGAAAGAGATCCTAACAGAATTTTAGCTTTTTATTTTGAAGTTTTATTTTGGTTTCATTTGGCCATAAACCGGTTTGTTCCAGGTGCTGTGGACACGAGGAATGCGACCGACAGGATTTCAGAGGAGCTGCAGGACAAAAATGAGCAAGAACTTGCAGAAAAACCCAAAGGTGGGGAAAATCCCAATCTGCCTGCCAAGGAAAATCCAACTGCAGTGTTTTGGGGTCAAATCCATGAACTGGATGATGCAAGGAGATTGATTTGCATTTAAACCTTGGGTTTTAATCATATYTGATTAATGTTCTGCTTTGAAAAATCTCCATCCTCTGATAAAGCAACGACTTTGCATTTTCCTATTCTTTTGTTTTCCAAGAGGCAGTGTCCAAGGGAAATCTGCACCTGAATCCCTTGGTGGATTGTTCTCTGTAAGAAGTGAATACTGGGACTCTCAGTGCTCTCATTTTACAGCATTCCAGAGGAAAATCCCATCCCATCCCTGCATTCTTCCTCCTCCATTTTCCCCCAAGTTGGACATAACTCCCAAGGCATAGATTTGTGTCCAGCTACAACATCCACGGAGCTGTGGAAGCAAAATGCAGGAGAAAGAAGCAAAAAGCTGCAATTTTTATTCTCTCCAGATTCAGATTCTTGAGCTGGTTGTGAGGGGGAATCTGGGGAGAAGAAATATGAACGGAGGGCCAAGACTTCTGTGTGACCTTCCCCAATTTCCATGCCAATTCCCTTTCATCTCTTGGAGCTGTCTTGTCCTTTGGAATGAATCTGGGATGGGATAGAAACRTATTTTATGATAAAATAAATCATTTTATGATCAAATAAATCTGGGCTGGGTGTTGGAGAGGAATATCCCCAGGTTCATTTTTGATTTGGATTGGACCCCCTGGTGGCACAAACACCAAATACTCAGATTCAGGTGAATAATGAAGGTTCAAAAAGACTTCTAAAATCATCAAGTCCAACCTTTATCATCGAGTTCAACCTTTATTTTACTGACTGATCTTTATTTTAGGATTATAAACCTTTCATTTTTTTAGGCTCAGGACCTTTAAGGTCCTTTCCAACCCAAGCCATTGATTAGAAAACATTGTTTATTAACTGAAATAAATTTATTTTCCTGGATCTTTTGGAGCATTATTTCTGTGTGCCTCAGTTATATTTTGTTGTGGAGTGCTGAGGCTCTGCATCCTGATTTTCCTGGCCCTGGGAGTGGTTCCCAAATTTTGGATGTAGCTCTTGTTCTGTGCGTCATGCCCAACTTGATCTGATTGCAGAATAAATAGAATTTCCCTGARAAATCAGTGTATTTGTTATTTCCAGATTCATTTGCCAGAGATTCAGTAACTCTYCAGTGACAAAACACAGCATCAAACACTGTTAGAAACTTCTAAYAGAAAAAAAGGACTTTTTAATCAATCAAACCCTTCTCTGCTGCTTTTTTACCCTTTATGTGATGTATTGTATAAATTTTAAATAGAATTTGGCTGCTTCGAGCAGGCTTTACCCAAGGACTTTGTATTAAAAAAAAGGGAAACAAAAGGATTGAGTGAGGTTATGTCATTTTCACAGAGAAGGGAATTTCATAATGTTGAGATACATATAAAAATATAGAAATTTATTTTTTTTTTCAGTGCAGTGCTAAGATTAAAAATACTGTCATAAAAAACGGTTTTTCTTGCCAGCTAATCCCCAATTTKATATTTTTTTGTTTAACAGAAGGAGAAGCAGAGAATGTGACTCCTGAAAAACCTGCAAATGGGGAAGTGGCTCCTCACATCCCACCTCAGCCTGCCCAAAGGTACATTTCTATCTTTTACTGTGTTCTTAACCCATCAACTGCTTCCATGTGATGTTATTAAAATAAAAGATGTTTGAGGAAAACATTGCATTCCCTCTGTGACGATGGTGTTTGGAACAGATGRATTTACGTTTTAAGCCCCGATTTAATTCTGTTTTTTGCTCAGCACAGGCTTGTATTGTGTGAAAATGATTTTTTTCCCCATTTCCATTGCTTCCATGTAATGGAATGTTTGAGGAAAATATTTCATTCCCCCTGTGAGGATGGTGTTTGGAAAGGATGAATTTACCTTTTAAACTTCAATTTAATTCTGTTTTTGCTCAGCACAGCCTTGTGKTGTTGTGTGAAAATGGTTTTTCCCCATTTCTGTTGCCTCCATGTGATGTTTTTAAAATGAGAGATGTTTGAGGAGAACATTGCATTCCCTCTATGCGGTTTGGGTTAGGATGAACCTGCCTTTTAAACCCCAATTTAATTCTGTTTTTTGCTCAGCAAAGGCTTGTGTTGTTGTGTGAAAATGATTTTTCCCCATTTCTGTTGCTTCAATGTGTTGTTATTAAARTGAGAGACATTAGACGAGAACATCCCTCTGTGTTGATGGAGTTTGGAAAGGATGAATTTACCTTTTAAACCCCGATTTAATTCTGCTTTCTGCTCAGCACAGCCTTGTGCTGCTGTGTCTCTGTGCAAGTGATTTCTCTCCATTTTCATTTTTATCACAGGCGGATTCCCCGTCCTGGCAGTGCAAGGCCGGCGCCACCGCGGGTCAGACGCCAGGAGAGCGCCGAGCTMGTCCTTCCAGAAAGGTGAGAATGAGGGAAATGCACGGTGGGAGCTGCTTGGAGCACCCTCATGGTGTTCTTCAGCTCCTCAGGGTGCTCACCTCAGTGGGATCCCCACCCCTGGAATGTCCCAGGAATCCCAAAAAACACCTGGATGTGGCACTGAGTGACAAAGTGGGGATCAGTCACAGCTTGGACTCGGAGAGCTCTTCCAGCCTCACTGATTCTGGGCCTTTCTGACTTTTTTTTTATGGTTTTTGGTTGAATGATTCTGGGCCTTTATGACCTTTCTTTGATCTTTTTTGATTGAGTTTGGTTCATTCTGGACAGATCTCAGTATTTAGACGAATTCCTGTTTTCCTCGTGTTTTATTCCCGCATGAGGGTCTTGGAGAGCTTTTCCATCCTCTGATTCTGGGCCTTTCTGACTTTTTTTTTTATGTTTTTCGTTTGAGTTTGGTTCATTCTGGACAGATTCTCAGTGTTCCCACAATTTCCCATTTCTGTCATGTTTTATTCCCCCGTGTTTTATTCCCTCGTGAAGGACTCAGAGAGCTTTTCCAGCCTCTGCGATTCTGGCACTCTCTGACTTTTTTTGATGGTTTTTGGTTGAGTTTGGTTCATTCTGGAACAGATCTCAGTATTCCCACGATTTCCCATTTTCCTCATGTTTTATTCCCTCATGAAGGACTCGGAGAGCTTTTCCAGCCTCAGTGATTCTGGCACTTTTTAACCTTTTTTGATGGATTTTGTTTGACTGATTCTGGGAGTTTTAAAACTTTTTTGATGCTTTTTGTTTGAGTTTGGTTCATTGTGGACAGATCTCAGTATTCCCACAATTTCCCATTTTCCTCGTGCCCCTTCAGGAGTGGCAGTGCCAAGCCCGCCCCGCCCGTGATCCGGGAGCCGCAGCTCTCTGAGGATGAGGATGAGCAGTTTGTGGTGGAGGCAGCAGCGCCCCTGCCAGACATGCCAAAGGTCTGTTTCTGCTCAKCTCACTGAACCTTTTTCCAGATTTCATTTGCAGATTTTATTTTTTTTATTTTTATTCCTGGAGGGGAGAAGGCTCCAGGGAGAGTTCAGGGTCTAAAGGGGCACCAGGAGAGCTGGACAGGGACTGGGAACAAGGGATGGAGGGACAGGACACAGGGAATGGCTTTAAACTGGAAGAGATGAGGTTTAGATGGGATTTTGGGAATTGGGAATTGTTCCCTGGGAGGGGCTGAGTTGGAATTCCCACAGGAGTGTCCAAGGCCAGGCTGGACATTGGGGCTTGGAGCACCCTGGGACCCTGGAAATGTCCCTGGGGTGGCATGATTTGGGCTTTAATATCCCTTCCCACCAAAACCCTTCCACCATTCCCTGATTTGCTGAAACCTTTAATATTTTTGAGTATTAAAAAAAAAAAAATTGAATATTAAATCCACCTTGCTTGTGCAATATTTTGAATATTAAATCCACCAACTTTTTCCAACTTCAACTCTCTTCCTGCGTGTGTAGGAGCCCGAAGTGGAGCTGCTGGAGGATCAAAAGCACGGTATGTTTGCTTTTATCTCCGTTTGGACAGATCCACAACCAACATTTATGRGTTTGATCCAAATGCTGAGCTCTGAAAATGCTGAAAAAAGCAATGAAATCCCTCCTGAGGGAAGGGGGCTTTGCAAAGCTTGCAGGAAAAAAATTCTTTCCCCAAGGCTTGTTTTCCTGTGCAGCTGCATTTCCATCTCTGCTAAGGACAGTTTTTCTGAGCATCTTCAGTGTCAGCAGGATTTCAAATTCTGCAGAGAGCTCAGAAATTAATGTTTTTTCAAGAGTCAGGTACAGCTTGGCAGCTCTGAGATGAACTGTAAAGACAAATTCTAGGAAAACTTGGGAGAAAAAAAGGTCAAATAACCAATTCCTGGTGTGTCAGTGTTGAAATTTCATAATAAAATTATATCCATGTCGCTCTAAGAATTGTCTGCATTCAAAAAAACCAAGGAAGTTTGGTTTATTTTATCATCTAAATGTTTAAAACTGTTTTAAATGGGTGGTGATTTTTGTGTCCATCAGTGCTGAGAAAAAAATGCTGATTTTTCAACAGGTGGGCTGGTGAAAAAAATCCTGGAAACAAAGAAGGATTATGAGGCATCCCAGAAATCATCCCAGACCACAGACAGGGTAAGGTGGCGATGGGAGATTAAACATTGCAACTGTCACCTTTTTTTTTGCTTTAAATGTGGGGGTTTTTTTGCAACTGAGACCTTCTTCTCCCTGTGTTTTTCCTGTGTTTTTCCTGTGTTTTTCCTGTGTTTTTCCTGGGTTTTTCCTGGGTTTTTCCTGGGTTTTTCCTGGGTTTTCCCAGGTTTTTTTTCTGGTTTTTTTTCCTGGGTTTTTCCTGCGTTTTTCCTGGGTTTTTCCTAGGTTTTTCTTGCGTTTTCCTTGGGATTTCTCCTGTGTTTTTCCTGCGTTTTTCCTGCATTTTTCCTGCGTTTTTCCTGGGTTTCTAACTAGGTGGTGCTGTTGGATCAGCAGTTCCCAGGCTCAGTTTGGGGAAAAACCTTGGGAATTGGTTTCTGTGAGTTCTCCCTGGCTCTGTGGGGTCTGTGGGATCTGTGGGGTGTGGGATCTCTGAGATCTATGGGATCCGTGGGATCTCTGGGATCTGTGAGGTTTGTAGGATCTGTGGGGTGCAGGATCACAGGGCAGCATTTAGAGAATCCMGTGGATTCTGAGCTCAGGGAGCTTCCTTTGCTGTCCCTGCTGCATTTTCTGCTTGGCTTTTTTTAATTTTTGTTTTCTGCTTGAGAAAAACAACCCAAACTCGTCCCTTTTTAACCCCTTAAATATTTGTAAACATTCAACTGTGCCCCTCCACAATAACGTCTGAGTCTCACCCTTTTTTCAATCCCTGAAACCATTCAGTCCTCGTTTTGTTGCGTTTTTGAAGCCCTGTTCCAGCAGGGCTGAGAACAGACAACTAATTCTGGAAAARAAAAACCTGCTGACTTCCTAATCCATCACGTGGAAAGGTGCCTGAGCTCCTGGAAAAAGTGATTAAAAATGTTCAGTTGGTGACAGAAAACAAGAGAGAAAGGGAGCTCTGAAATTGGGATCCAGAGAAAAGTATGTTTTTTTCAGAGTTGAATGGAAAAGATGGGAAAATGTTCAGAGTTGGTGACAGAAAATGAGGAGGGGAGTGTGGTTTTCCTGAAATTTGGATTCAGAGAGAACCATTTTCCTGAGAGCAGAGCTGAATGGAAAAGGTGATTAAAAATGCTCAGTTAATGACAGAAAATAAGAGAGACGTGTAGTTCTCCTGAAATTGGAATCCAGAGAAAAGTGGGGTTTTGTTGACAGCAGAGCTGAATGGAAAAGGGGATTAAAAATGCTTGGAATTAGTGACAGAAAACAAGAACTGAAATTAATGAAAATCAGTGAAATTAGTGGAAACAAGAGAGAAGGGGAGTTTTCCTGAAATTGGGATTCAGAGAAAAGTGTGGTTTTCCTGACAGCRGAGTTGAATAGAAAGGTGATTAAAAGTGCAGGGAATTAGTGGCAGAAAACAAGAGCTGGAGACATGACTGAGTCCTGGCAGCTGATTTTACAGGCTGGAGTTGCTGTGGCACAGGAGACAGTAAAATTAAAAATAACTCAAATTTCCAGTTTGGCATTCCCTGTGGGAATTTCTGGGTGGAGAGATGGCACCACCAAACTCCCCAGGAGAAATATGTCCTGCATCAGGATGCAGCTGTGTTTTCCAAACACACAAAAAAATTAAATTAAGGGTAAAATTAAGTAACTAAATTAAAATTAAAATTAAATTAAGTAAAATTAAGGGTCCTGCTGTATTTTGGGATCAAAACATCCCAGAATCCAGGGAATATTTGAAAGAAAACTTGCTTTGGGAAGTGCCATCTGCTGAAACCACGCTGGTCCCTCTGTGTGTCAGTAGAATATTTATCTTCCCTCGTTCTTTAAACTGTTCAATACATCCAAAATGAAATATTTTCCCACTCAAATTCATTCAAGCCTTGATCTTCTGCCAGCTGGGAAAATAAAAAGGAAAAAAAACAGCAAGCTGAATGCTGGAATTTTTGCTTAATGCATTATTAATTCCAGTATTCAGCACAAATAAAAATGATCAATGGAGCGGCCTGATTTATTGGGGATTAATCAGGCAGAAATGAGGTGGAGTTGGTGGATTAATTCTTCATCCAAAGGTAACCCCAATGCCCTCTCAGGGATGTTTCACACCTTGRTGGCTGAGGAACATTTATTTATGTTCAAAACTTTCCTTCCAAACCCTTTCTGTGCGTTTGGGGTTTTTAGGAATTTTAATTTAAGAAAAAAAAAAAAAGAAAGAAAAGCGGGACTTTGATGCTGTAGGTTTTGCATGTGCAAAGTTACAATAATATACACAATTTTGGGGTCAAACCAARAGGTCATGCTGGGAATACACAAGATTTTTGCTGCCTTGATTAGCCTAAAAAATTCCTAAATAAGCCCCAAAACTTCCCAAATGTTCCTAAATGTGTTTGTTTAGAATCTCTAATGTGAAGCAGAGAAAGGAGCAGATGTTCCATTTTGCATTTCACTTGGTTTATTTGATGTGTGGCAGGTTATTAAACCGCTGGAGCTTGCGGGATARCAAAATTCCCATTTTTTTGCCCCAAAAGGGCTTTGGAAAAGCAGCAGCTCTGAGGGAGGAATTCAGTTTTAATTTGAATTTCCAGCGTGATCCATGAGAAACTCAGAACAAATCCAATCTGATTCTGTTTAAAGTGCTGCAGGTCGTGGGTTTTACATTTATCCATCATCTGCACGGCTCTGGCAGTGCCCTGCAATTAATGAATTCATTGTATTAACGAGCTGGAGTCTGAAATCTGAGATTTTATGGGTCTGGGTGGTTCCCACAACCCCATGGCATCCTAAAGATGCTGAGAGGGAAATTGAGGAATTACCTGGGGCAGGGATTTCAGCATTTCTGTTGATGATGTGACCTTAATTCAGTGGGAAATCTCACAACTCCCCTGTGACATTTTTGTTGATGATGTGACTTTAATTCCATGGGAAATCTCAGAATTTCCCCAAAAATGTTTGTTTTTTTTTTACCCAGCCGAGCCCACAGGAGCTCCAATGTCCTTAAAGCTCTCAGGAATAAAAATGGGGTGCCCAGGGGGTTGTGTGAGTGGTTCCCATCACCCTATGTCATCCTAAAGATGCTGAAAACAAAATCAAGGAGTTACCTGGGGCAGGGATTTCAGCATCTCTGTTGAAGTTGKGACCTTAATTCAGTGGGAAATCTCACAATTTCCCCAAAAATGGGATTTTTTACCAGCAGCCAAGTCCTTTTTGAGCAGCAGAAGCTGCTTTTCCAGGGCAGGAGGTGATGGGTACAGGGGGCAGGGCTGGCAGCAGAAAGGGAAGGTTGGGACTGGCACCAGTGTGCATTGGGGGTGAATTAATTAACAATCTGCCATTGCTAATTACTGCTGGAATGAACTCTTCAGGGTCAGGATTCACAGGGCTGGAGCCTCTCTGCCAGGGGGAGAGGGAGAGGATCCAGGGAGAGCTCAGAGAGCCTAAAGGGGCTCAGGAGAGCTAGAGAGGGACTGGGGACAAGGGATGGAGGGACAGGACACAGGGAATTGCTTTAAACTGGAAGAGATGAGGTTTAGATGGGATTTTGGGAATTAGGAATTGCTCCCTGGGAGGACTGGGATGGAATTCCCACAGGAGTGTCCAAGGCCAGGCTGGAGATTGGGGTTTGGAGCACCCTGGGGATGAGATTTAAGGTTCCTTTCAACCCAAACCATTCCATGATTCCACTTGAATGGAATGATTCATGCTGAATCCTGCCCCAAAAATGGGAAATTTTGKGAGCTGAACTCTTCCCCAAGTGAGGGAAAGCAAGGAGGGTGTGTGGGCTGGCTGGCTGTTCATGCACAGGTGAAAAGTCCAGCTTATTTTAGAGAACCCAAAAAGAAACTGGGAACTAAAAACCACCACCCTCCAAAAAAAAAAAAAAAAAATTAAAAAATGTGATTTGATTTAAAAAGCTCTCTTGAAAGAGGCATTCTTTTATTTTCCAGCTCAGGRGCAGGTCAGGCTGACTCTGGTAAATGCAGTGAAGAACATTGTGTCTCCAACTCCTTGGCCTGTGCCTGAACCCTGTACCTGGCAGCAGCAGAAAAAGCATCCTGTTCATTGAGAACCATTTAACATTTACAGCTTTCCCCCTGGTTCTGTGAAAATTTCTTGCAGGGATCCCTGGTGGATCGTTAAAACACAGGCTCTGTAAAAACCGGGCAAAGAAAACACCTTTTATGATCAAAAAATATATTTTGTGTGATAAAAAAAGCGCCCCACCTTGTTGGTTTTGCACTGAACGTATTCCAGTCGTTCGTCCAAAATGAAATTTCTGCCCTGTCCTGGAGAAAGAGGAGGGGGAGAATGGTGGAGCTCAATAAAATCATGATTGTTTGGGTCTGTTTTCCTTGTGGGATGTAATAATAGGGTTAAAAGGGGCTGCAGAAACTATTAAAATGCTTGATGGATGTTTGGACTAATTCGGTTCATATTTAATTTTAAAAAAAGGAAACAAAGGAGAAGGTATGTAAAAGGAAGAAAATGCTATTTCTGGAAATCCTGGTGGTTTCTGGAGCCTCGTTGATGGTTTCCCCTTTAGTGATTAAAAAAGAAAATTCCTGCTTTCGCATTTCCCAGGTCCCTGCAGCCAGGCCCACRTTGTGTTCTGCTCACGTGGAGCTGATGGCAAAAGCAGCTTTTTTCCAGCACTCCAAAATAAACATTTCTCTCGGTGCCTTGTGGAAAAGGAAACGTGTCAGGTCTACAGGAGCGCTGCAGCCTTTGACACGGGGATAATTTGTGGGTTCTGGGGCTGCTGGGAGAGGGGAGGCAGTGGAGGTGTAGGGCCTGATGGAAAAGCCTGGAATAATTCAGGTCCTGGTGGTTTTCTCCTGGCTTCCTGTCCTTTCCTTTTTTCTTTCCTTTTTCCTTTCCTTTTTCCATTTCCTTTCCCATTCCCATTTCCCCTTTTCCCATTCCCCTTTCCCCTTTCCCTTTTCCCTTTCCCCTTTCTCCATCCCTGACAATTCTGTAATTCCGTGACTTATTTTGGGTTATTTATGGTTTGGTTATTATTTGGGATAATATTTTCTCCTTTTAATCTCCCTTTTGAAGTGTTCAAGCACACAGAGAACATGCTGGAATTGCAGGGACATTGGAATTAATTCTCAATRTTTTCTTTACACTTTAAGGGCTGATCCATCAAAAATATTCCCAGTTTCTTTTTGCTTTTCACTCGAGCTGTGTGTTTAAGGCTGGAATATTTCAGATTGTGAGCTATGGCCACCTGATACAGACAAAAATACTGAATGGGACTGGACCCAAAACTGAGCCCTGGGGAACCCCACTGGTGACCAATCCCAGCTGGAATATTCCCATTCCCCCCCCTCCCTGGGCCAGGCCTTCAGCAATGTTTATCCCATAAAAATGTGTTTGCCCAAACTGTGCACTGCCAGCCTTTCCGGGAAAAACACTGGGAATCATTCCCAAAGCTGGCATTTGGGAAATAAAACCAGAGCATTCTTCAGGTTTCTCACACCCCAGCCCTCAGATAATGCTCTGGCTGAATYTTCTCCCTTCCCAGAGCACTGTGTGTGAAATAAATCCCTGATTTCTTGGCCGAGGCTCTGGATAATGGACACAGGGACTAGGATGGTGAGGATTTGGAAAAAACGAGGTGATGGGGTGTTTTCCTGGGAAGCTGTTGGCTCTGCCACAGCCCTGGATCCAAAATATTCTTTACTGAGCGTGCGGCTGTTTTCCCTAATTCTGATTTCCCTGATTCTGATTTCCCTGATTCTGATTTCCCTGATTCTGATTTCCCTGATTCTGATTTTCATCAGGAGAAGCCAGTGGCGTCAGAAACATCACGAAAAAGGGAGAGGGAGCTGGTGGCCAAAGAGATGGAGAAGCTGCAGGTGTCCATCCAGAGCGTGTGCCAGAACGCCCTGACGCTGGGCAGGATCGTGGATTACATCCAGGAGGACATGGATGCCATGAGGAAYGAGCTGCACGCCTGGCGCCGGGAGAACCGGCAGCACGCCGACGAGCTGCAGAGAGAGCAGAGGTCAGGGGGCACAGAAACGGGGCTGGGAGCTCTGAAAAACTGATAAATTACAGAGATAGTGGATTCATTGAGGAGTCATTGATATTGGATCAGTGTGGTCATTAAAACTTAAAAAACAGATATATTGAATTCATTGAGGAATTGTAGATATTGGATCAGTGTGGTCACAGAGACAGATCTTAGGAGCTCTAAAAAATTTATAAATAACAGAGAGATTCAATTCATTGAGGAATTCCAGATACTGGATTGGTGTGGTCACAAAAACAGGGTTAGGAGCTCTGAAAAATTTATAAATAACAGAGAGATTGAGTTCATTGAGGAATTGTAGATTTGGATCAGTGTGGTCATTAAAACTTTTAAACAACAGATATTGAATCCATTCAGGAATTGTAGATATTAGATCAGTGTAGCCACAAAAACAGGGTTAGGAGYTCTGAAAAATTTATAAATAACAGAGAGATTGAATTTGTTGAGGAATTGTAGATATTGAATCAGTATGGTCACACAGAGAGATCTAAGGAACTCTTAAAATTTAGAAATAACAGAGAGATTGAATCCATTAAGGAATTGTAGATATTGGATCGGTGTGGTCATTAAAACTTACAAACAAAAGAGAGATTGAATTCTTTGAGGAATCATTGATATTGAATCAGTGTGGTCATTAAAACTTATAAAACAACAGAGATGTAGAATTCATTAAGGATTCTTAGATACTCGATCAGCCACAGCTTCCCTGGCCCTTGTCTCAGAGTTTTAGCAGAAAAATCAGATGAGCCAAAAAGCGACTTTTACTGTTGAATTATGGCTGATCTCCSTTGAACAATATTCCCCACGTTGTAGCTTTGTCTTTGTGGTTTTWATTCCAAACTTTTTTCAGGAAGGGTGGGAACAATTTAAAGGCCGGGTTGGACGGGGTTTGGAACAAGTTGGGATCRTGGAAAATATCCCTGGATGAGCTTTAGGGTCCYKTCCAACCCAAACCACCCTGGGATTGATTCCATGAAATCCTTTAGAGCCTTTCAGGTATCAAAATGTGCTTTTTTGGAGAATTGAAGGCCCCGGAGCAGGGGAAGTTTCCAGCAATATCCCACAGCTCGTCGTGTCTCTTGCAGCATCACAGACAGCGCCGTGGAGCCGCTCAAAGCCGACCTGGCCGAGCTGGAGCAGCTGATCAAGGACCAGCAGGACAAGATCTGCGCTGTCAAAGCAAACATCTTGAGGAACGAAGAGAAAATCCAGAGGATGGTGCTGAGCATCAACCTGTCTTCCAGGAGGTGAAGGAGAGGGGAAGAGAGAGAAATGAGAGAGCTTTGGGACTCAGTGACATTGTTACCAAAAAAAAATCCAAATAGCAGCGACGCCTTGTTTGGATGTAAAATGTTTATGGACCAGAACCCGGAAAATTGTATAAAAAACCCATTATTGCATTGATTTTTAGATGTTGATATTATGCAGGATGAAATTCTATTCACTTGAATGCTCAGGTTGCAGAGCTATTAAAGGAATTTGTTTGTTTAACTGTGAGCTGCTGTTTCTCACTTCCCCTTGCCTTCTCCTTCGTTCTCCTCCATCTCCTTCTCCTCATCCCCCTGAAATTCCCTCTGAATTATTGAAGACCTGATAAATGGGAATTAAAGAACTCCTTCCCCCCCATTAAATATTCAAAAAAAAGGTTCCTGAGTCCTGTTCAGAGCTCTGAGGAATCTGATCAGCACCGAGTGAAAACGCAACCCAAGCATCGCCACATAAGGGAGCTGCAGTATTTTATCTGCACAGGTGTTAATTCCATTTTTATTGCATCTGTTCATTTGGAAAGGATTAATTTAAGTACCTGTTTCCTCCCTGATGCACGTCCTCGTGGTTTTTTCTYGGGGAATAGCTCCCCTGATTTTTTTTTAGCGAGCTGCAGATGTCTGCAGCGTTTTCCTAACAACCTCTGCCCGTCAGAGTCTGGCTCCAGCGATTCCCAAATCTGCAAAGAGCATCACTGGATGGGTGCAGAGGCTTCAGTCCCCTGCAAGGCTGTTACCAAGGGTTTTATGATGTTTTGGATGTTTATTTTACGGTGTTTGGACCATGGATGAAGTGTTAGTGGCCTCAGTTTTCTTTCTGTGATTYGTAAATCTATATTTTTTTGTGTTGTTTTCTTTCCCCCCCTTCGGGATTTCTTTATCTGCTGTCTGAACCTAAAAACATACCCCATGTATCATCAGCGTAATGTGAGTATTTGGGGTGTGAAATGATTTGGAGGGGTGGGAGGCTTTGCTGGGTGGGGTTTTTTTGGGGTGGGTGGAGAAGCATTTGGGGGCTTGGGAAGGAAAGGGAGAGAAAATGGGAGGGAGGAGAG